TGACATCACAGCTCACAGCAACCTCCAACTCCTGGGCTCAAGTGAGTCTCCTGCCTCAGCCTCCCAAGTAGCTGGGACCACAGGTGCCCACTACAACGCTCAGCTATTTTTTGGTTGCAGCCGTCATTGTTGTTTGGCGGGGCCCGGGTTGGATTTGAACCCGCCACCTTAGGTGTATGTGGCTGGCGCCTTAGCCACTTGAGCCACAGGCACTGAGTTCGTGATTTTTCTAAAAAAAGAAATCCCCTTCCCTTTCTCACTCCTGTATCTCTTTCTTGGTTTTTTTTTTTTTTCATTAAATCATAGCTGTGTACATTAATACAATTATGGGGTATAACGTACTGGTTTTGTATACAATTCGAAATACTTTCATCCAACTGGTTAACATAGCCTTCAGGTTTACCTGATCTCCTCCCTGGATTCCTGAGAGGTGGGCAGAGCAGACTTCATCAACCCCACTTCACAGAGGAGAAAACAGAGGCTGACTTGGCATGCTAAGAGTGGCCCTGCAGGATCCGGCTATGTTCACAGCAAGTACTGAAAGGATTTGTGTGAAGGCAAGGAGCTAAACTGTGAAACAGACCTTTATGGCAGTGATTCAATTATTTATCTGCATCATTATATGAGCGTGAAGGGAATGTTGGAGTGATCACAGCTAGCACCACTTTCCGTTGTAAATGAGAACGGAGGAGGAGGAGAGGAGGTGACAGCTCCAGGGTCATCAGGGCAACAGCAGAGCTCTATATACACTCCCGGGGCCATGTCATCCATTCCTGTTATACACCATTTTCCCTCTAGTTGGAAACCCTTAGATCTCTATCCATTCCAGATCTCTCTCCAGTCTTGGTGTGTTATATTATCTTCATGGTAGCCGGCAAATTTTTCTAGATTATACCAGATCCTTCTGTGGTTCACAGGCATGACGTTTGGGTTTTCATGCATACGTGTGAGATGTGCCTCCCTCAAGCCTTGTAACTTCAGCCCATTATCCATCTGACACGGAAAAAATAAAACATTTGAAAATTAAAAATTAAAATTCAATCTGATCACGTTACTTCCATGCCCCAAGCCAGTCAGTGACTTCCCACGGACCCTGAAATGACAATCTAGGTGCTTTGTGGTAGCCACTGGTCAAGTCCCTGGCTATCTTTTTCTGCCACACAGGAAGAGGTTGTTCCTGCCTTAGGACCTTTAGACTCATTCTTTCTTTTGCACCCACCAGAAATTTACATGGCTCAGCTCGGCACCTGTGGCTCAAGTGGCTAAGGTGCCAGCCACATACACCTAAGGTAGCAGGTTCGAATCTAGCCCCAGCCTGCCAAACAACAATGATGGCTGCAACCAAAATTAGCCAGGCATTGTGGCAGGCACCTGTGGTCCCAGCTACTTGGGAGGCGGAGGCAGGAGACTCGCTTGAGCCCAGGAGTTGGAGGTTGCTGTGAGCTGTGATGCCATTGCACTCTACCCAGGGGGACAGCTTGAGGCTTTGTCTCAAAAAAAAAAAAAGAAATTCACATGGCTCGGCTTCTCCCCTCACGCCATTCAGAGCCACTCTGGCTAAACCAGCCCCTCTTCGCCTGTATCCCATGTTACTTTCCACATAGCAGGGTCACTGTCTGACACCTGTCTTGCTCATGATCCTTTAGTTATGTACACTCCCTTCCCCAGCTAGAATCTCAGCTCTGGATAGGGCTGAGACAGGTGGATCACTTGAGCTCACCTGGAGGGTGGTGAGCTGTGTGCCACCTTTGGTCCTGTGACCCAGTAACTAGAACAATGCCGGCCAAGGTTATTGAGTCCTGTGTGCTTGTAAGCACTATTCTAAACTCTTTATATGCATGGTCTGCTTGGTCCTTACTAACATCCAAAGACGTGGGAGCCGTTATTATCACTCCCATTTCATTATTTATTTATTTATTTATTTATTTTTTGAGACAAGAGTTGCACTTTGTTGCCCTCAGTAGAGTGCTGTAGCATCACAGCTCACAGCAACCCCAAACTCTTGGGCTCAAGCAATTCTCTTGCCTCAGCCTCCTGAGTAGCTGGGACTACAGGCACCCACCACAATGCCTGGCTATTTTTTGAGACAGGGGTCTGGCTCTAGCTCAGCCTGGTCTGGAACCCGTGAGCTCAGGCATTCCACCCTCCTCGGTCTCCCAGAGTGCTGGGATTACAGGCATGAGCCACCGTCCTCGGCCAATCACTCCCGTTTTACAGAGGAGCCAAATGATTACAGAGAAGTCAAGGGACTTACTTGCCCGTGCAGTCAGTGAGCTGCAGAACCAGGGTTAAACCCATGGAGTCAATCATCACCACCCCCACCCCAAATATCTGCAGAGCACATGGGCCCATGCACCCACGTCCACTTGACATCTTTACCTCCATCGTCCTCAGGATCCACAGAGTCCATGTTTAAGAAACCAGTTGCTCAAGCCAGAGAGCTGACTGATGTTCTAGATTCCTCCTTTTCCTCACCCACACTTCCTCTTGGTCAGGCTTACTCATCTGTCCAGTCTCAGGTAAAACTTCACTTCCTCAGGGAAGCCGTCCTGGCCACCAACACCACCCCCACCCGCACGTAGCCACATCCCCTATTAACTGTTCCACGGAGCCCTGCACTTCTCCTTCGCCGACAGCCCCCACCCTGTTATTAATCATTTGTTCAAAGTCCTACAAACTTCCCTGCCACCAAGTGACCTCCATGAGAGCAGAGATTGTGTCTGTCTTGTTTGTTACAGGTGTTCGATAAACATGTTACATTAATATTTCCATTAGTGTATAATTTATAAACTCAGCATCCCTACCAACAACGGGGCGGTTGGGGGAGGGAGGTCTAGAAAGCAGCTACCCACGGAGTTAAATTTTCTGCTATCCCAGGGAGGTGTGTGGATGGAGGTCAAGGTCGCAGTTCCCTCTGCCGCCACCAGGGGGAAGGAAGGACCTCTTTTTTTTTTTTAAAGAGTAACTTCAAAGGGCTGAAGAAGCAACATCTTTGGTCTCAAAGGGAACCAGCCCCCACTCTTTTGAGAGCCCGGAAAGTCAAATTAAGGGAAGGGTGGGGTCAGTGGGTTTTCCCAGGTACTGGACCCAGGTGAGGCTATCACAGAAGCAAGGCTTTAGGTACCTTCAAGGAAACTTGGAATCCGTTTAGAAGAGAGACGGTGGCAGTCCTGGGGCACCAGGGAGACTTCCTGGGTGGGGAGACTTGCAGAAGGGGACACTCCAAAAGATGCTACTTGGGAGGCTGAGTCAAGAGGATTGCTTAAGCCCAAGAGTGTGAGGCTGCTGTGAACTGTGGCGCCACGGCACTCCTCCAAGGGCAACATAGTGAGACTCTGTCTCAAAGAAAAGGAAAACCCAAATCCTACAAGTCCTTCCTAATAGCCTCTTACTGAGGCACCACTGTGTGTTTCCCAAGTGATATGCAACAAGTAATAAACCCAACTTGTTCAACTACTAGCCCAGCGAGGAAGAGGAATAGTCCCAGTGGTCTTTGCCTGCAGCTGTTGACAGGTATTATCATTATCCATATTTTATAAATGAAGAAAGTAAAGTTCAGAGAGGTTGATAAATTTGTCATAGCTCAGGGCAGTGAATGAGAGAACCAGCTCTACCTGATGCCAAAGTCCACAGCCTCTCTTGGTTAGCAGTCCCCACTATTGGAGCACTGTATGTCTCAGTTTCTTTGTCTGCAGTGAGACAGATTCCACACTCCAAAGGTCCCTCCAGGCTCCATCTTCCCAGAATCAGGTGTGCAAACACATTGTCAAAGGGGCCTACTTGGGAAGCTGAAGAGGACCTCCCTTTGTCAGGGGACTCACTGGATAATGAACTGGTCATGCCCACAGTGTCTTGCAGCTGGGAGGTCTGATAATGAACTTGAAGAGTGTTGCATCCTGGGAAGCACGTCTACGAGGCTTAGACTCCAACATGCCCACTACCTACCTCCCACTCTCTCCTCGCAGCCACCCTCTTCCAGCTGTTTCTATTTCTGCATTCTGATCACTAAAGCTCTTGACCAAGTGTGGGAGGCAAGTCAGGAGGTGACTTGGGAGCTCTTACCTAATTAAACTTTCCCTGTTCCTACAGTTGCCACTCTCCTCCCCATCCCCAACAAGGAGCAGTCCTTCAGGGTGGCTGCCACCTTTATAGGCTTTGTAGGGACCCCAAAAAGAGGCATTCCTTCAACCACATATCCTGAGAATCTGAAAGCTGATGGAGAGGTCTTGGCAAAATGTTGTGCAAGAATGTAAAAAACCCTTTGTAAATGGCAGAGGTATGTCCTTGATTGTTGTCCTCAATCTCTGTAGGACTTAGCAGAGAAGAGTCCGGACTCACATGGAAACAGGGCCAGGGATAGAGGAGTACACGTATCCATTCAATAGGAAATGAGAATGTTCTTTTTTTTTTTTTTGAGACAGAGCCTCAAGCTGCCCCCCTGGGTAGAGTGCCATGGCATCACAGCTCACAGCAACCTCCAACTCCTGGCTTAAGCGAGTCTCCTGCCTCAGCCTCCCAAGAAGGTGGGACCACAGGCGCCCACCATAACGCCTGGCTATTTTTGGTTGTAGCCATCATTCTTTGGCAGGCCTGGGCTGGATTTGAACCCGCCACCTTGGGTGTACATGGCTGGCACCTTAGCCACTTGAGCCACAGGTGCCAAGCCTGAGGGGGGGTCTTAAAACCACCTTCATACATCTTTACATCATTTCACTCATTAACATACATCTTTTCATAATTCAAAAAATTATCATTCAAGGCACTGCACGTTGGCTCATGCCTGTAATCCTAATCCTGTAATCCACTCTGGGAGGCTGGGACAAATCAATTCCTTTTTGTTTGTTTGTTTTTTTGAGACGGAGCCTCAAGCTATCCCCCTGGGTAGAGTGCCATGGCATCACATTCACAGCAACCTCCAACTCCTGGGCTCAAGCGAGTCTCCTGCCTCAGCCTCCCAAGTAGCTGGTACTACTGGCGCCTGCCACAATGCCTAGCCATTTTTTGTTTGCAGCCATCATTGTTGTTTGGCGGGCCCAGGCTGGGGATTCAAACCCGCCATCTTAGGTGTATGTGGCTGGCACCTTAGCCGCTTGAGCCACAGGCGCCTAGCCAACAAATCAATTCCTTGAGCTCAGGAGTTTGAGACCAGCTTGAGCAAAAGCAAGAACCCATCTCTACCAAAAATAAAAAACCTTGCCAGGGATTCTGGTGGGCACCTGTAGTCCCAGCTACTTGGTAGTCTGAAGTAAGAAGATCGCCTGAGCTCAGGAGTTTGCAGTTGCTGTGAGCTATGACACCACAGCACTCTACCCAGAGTGACAGAATAAAACTCTGTCTCAATAGAAAATAAAGGGGAAAAAAGAAAAGAAAAATTTGACATTTTGTTTATCATTAATTTTTGCATTGATTTTGACTTATTAAACTATTGCATTCGAATTTGATTCATGGGCTGGGTGTGGTGGTTCACATCTATAATCCCAGCACTCTGGAAAGGCCAAGAGGAGGTGAATTTCTTGAGCTCAGGAGTTCAAGACCAGCTGAAGCAAGAGTGAGACCCTATCTCTACTAAAAAAAAAAAAAAAATAGAAAAAATAGATTAGCGTTGTAGTTGGTACCTGTAGTCACAGCTACTGGGCTGAGGCATGAGGATCGCTTAAGCCCAAGGTCTCTCTGAGCTATGATGACACCGTGGCACTCTACCCAGGGTGACAGAGTGAGACTCTGTCTCAAAAAACCAACAAAATATAATCTATGTTTTTTTTTTCTTAATGACAGCCATTATTTACTTTAATTTCAGAATATTATAGGGATACAGACATTTTGGTTACATAGTTTGATTTTTGTACATTTTAGGTCACACTTATAAGTGTGCCCTTCCCTCAGAATGTGTGCATTATACCCGTTAGATGTGAATTAACCCATCCCCTTACATACATGGGGTATTTATTTTTCCATTCTTGCAATATTACACTTAGAAGAATGGTCTCCAGGGCCACCCA